TCTTTTTCCTGCCTGACACCTGGACAAGAGGTTGGAGGTGCACCAGCCATCTAGTATCTATGTTGCAACAGGCATAAGGATACAGGCCTACATGCTAAGAATGGTAGAGTGAATACGTGGAGAGTCCAAGTGCTGGTGGGGCTGCTGGACTCCCCGGTTGTCCTAGGACAACCCCAGACTGAAAAACACTGAACTTCTTGTTACATTAATTAAAGGTACTAACACTTTGGAACCTGTGGTTTACAAACTTATTTCTAATAAATACATAAAACAATTCTTGGCTGGGTATGGTCGTTCACACCTGTAATCCTAGCACTTTGGGAGGCCGAGGCGGGAGGATCACTTGAGTTCAGGAGTTTGAGAACAGCCTGGGCAACACAGTGAGACCTTGTCTCTATTTAAAACAACAACAACAAACAAAAACTTCAAAAATCAATTCTCGATTTAAATTTTTTTCTTTGCAATCTCTCTTCAGGAAAGTGATTATCCAAACTGTAATGCACAGTGTCACATTACCAGCTATGCAATACTGTAAAATATACAATTTCTCACTGTGTGACCAAATAGGGATGTACTGGGGGCCTTCTTTGTGTAAAGCTGTGGAACAGCTGGGTGTGGTGGCTCACGCCTGTAATCCCAGTAGTTTGGGAGGCTGAGGCAGGTGGATCACTCGAGGTCAGGAGTTCAAGACCAGCCTGGCCAACATGGTTAAACCCTGCCTCTACTTAAAATACAAAAATTAGGCCGGGCGCGGTGGCTCAAGCCTGTAATCCCAGCACTTTGGGAGGCCGAGACGGGCGGATCACGAGGTCAGGAGATCGAGAGCATCCTGGCTAACACGGTGAAACCCCGTCTCTACTAAAAAAATACAAAAATCTAGCCGGGCGCGGTGGCGAGCGCCTGTAGGCCCAGCTACTCAGGAGGCTGAGGCAGGAGAATGGCGTGAACCCGGGAGGCGGAGGTTGCAGTGAGCTGAGATCCGGCCACTGCAGTCCAGCCTGGGTAACAGAGCGAGACTCCGTCTCAAAAAAAAAAAAAAAAAAAAAAAAAAAAAAAAAAAAATTAGCTGGGCTGTAACGGCACCTGCCTGTAGTCCCAACCACACGGAGGCTGAGGCAGGATAATCGCTCGAATCCAGGAGGCGGAGATTGCAGCGAGCCGAGATTGAGACTGTGCCACTGCACTCCAGCCTGGATGACAGAGGGAGATCCTGTTAGAAAAAAAAAAAAAAAAAAAAGCTGTGTAATATTTGCAGAATAATTTCCATAATGCATACATTTTTAAAATACGAGAGGTGGGAGAAAAGTGCAAATAGCTCTGTGCGGCATTCCGTGACTTCTGCACCTGCTCCGGTAATTCCATAGAGGGGAAAAAAAATAATGATAGGAGATTACATTTATCAAATGTTTACTTCGTGCTGGACATCATTCTAAATATTTTATTTGGAATTAATGAATTTAACCCTGAAAACCCCCTAGGATGTGGGCCCTTGTATTATCACTCAAAACAGACACAGAAACAAGCCCAGCAACTCACAGTAACCGTTTTCGTGCACATCCTACCAGAGCAGTGCTGCTAGTAACTTCCAAAAGCATAACCAGTCCTCCCTCTAGCAGCAAATCTCAAAATTAAACAGTTCCATGTAAAAGAAACTCACAAGTTCAAACACGACTATAAGATGAAACTAAGTAAAAATAAGCTTTCATACAGTTCTGTGTCTTGCGGTGCTTCGTGACTGGATGGGGAATGTGCAGCAAGAAGCTCTCATTTACTCACACCTGTGATAACACCTTGGCCAGCTGTGCTTTGTCATAAAACAAAACAAAACAAACCACCACCACAGAAACAGGACAGAGCAGGCGCATAACGGAACACAGTTTATCCACAGTAAAACATGCAGGGCTGAAGGGAAGTGGAAAAGTATTTGCTGACAATGCAGGTTACATGAAAGTAGCTTATCCATATATCCAACAGTCCAAGGCCTAAGGTCATTTTCAATGACACCACAGTCTCATGGCACGTTCCAACAGATCTACAGATGAACAAATGAGATGGTCAAACGTTTAAACACTTCTGTAGCACCAAGAGCGTGAACAAAACAGTGACAATGTCTATAGTAAAAACTCAAATGATTAAGATTTTTAGTTTACCGAAAAACAGCTCAACAAAGTTACTAGCAGCAGATCGTAACGTGTACTACAATGTAAGGAATACGGAATGTGACTGAGATGTCTTCTAGTTTCAATCCTGAAGCTCCCTAAAGACTTTACTGACAATATATTAAAGCAATCAGAGTTGGGTTGTACTGCTAGATATTCCTTAATTTTATGGCCTGGATCAATTAGGTTTTGAAAATTGTACACTTCTATTATTTTATTTTTGAGACGGAGTCTTGCTCTGTTACCCAGGCTGGAGTGCAATGGTATGATCTCGGCTCACTGCAACCTCTGCCTCCTGGGGTCAAGCGATTCTCCTGCCTCAGTCTCCCGAGTAGCTGGGATTACAGGCATGTGCCACCATGCCTGGCTAATTTTGTATTTTTAGTTGAGATGGGGTTTCGTTGGCCAGGTTGGTCTTAAAACTCCTGCCCTCAGGTGATCCACCCACCTTGGCCTCCCAAAGTGCTGGGATTACAGGCGTGAGCCACTGTGCCCGGCCCTACACTTCTATTTTAAATATGTAAGTCAAAGTGAAGTAGTTTCTTTTTTTTTTTTTTTGAGACGGAGTCTCGCTCTGTCGCCCAGGCTAGAGTGCAGTGGCCGGATCTCAGCTCACTGCAAGCTCCGCCTCCCGGTCCGCATTTCTGTCACTGATCGGACGGCATCCTTGTTTTTTAGTAGATTTTCTTGACCTGACCGGATGGTCGCTACGGCCCCTAGACGAGTCGCTCGCCCAGGCTGGAGTGCAGTGGCCGGATCTCAGCTCACTGCAAGCTCCGCCTCCCGGGTTCACGCCATTCTCCTGCCTCAGCCTCCCGAGTAGCTGGGACCACAGGCGCCTATGAAGTAGTTTCTTAAGAAATAAAGGAAAACAGTTTTTTGGCATTGCGCTGATGATGCTGTGCTGTATATACCTACAGGTCTAAGAAAGAAAAACAGAAATGGATGGCATTGTCACTCTATCTGGATTGTTAAAAAAAAAAAAAAAAAAGGCAGCACTACTAGGGTGAGACGTTTTCATCTGCTACAGAGCACAAACTGGGACGGGTGCAAGGAGGTAACGCAATGGTCATCTTTTAACAAATGTACCAGAGATGATATATCCACCAGTGTCATTCCTTTCAAGATCATCAGTCTCTTGATGTAACTTACAAGTTTATATAAATGCTGTCATTTTCTGAACAAATTGTTTCCCAGAAATGCAGCATTTTTAGTTTTTTTCCCTAACCCCAAACTAAGATGGGTAAAACAGTTATAATCAGGATTACTGAGACTATAAAATTATCTTTATAGAGATATAGGCAAGTATCAACTCTTTTTTTGTGAGACAGGGGTCTTGCTCTGTTGCCCAGGCTGGAGTACAGTGGCATGATCTTGGCTCACTGCAACCTCTGCCTCCCAGACTCAAGCCATCCTCCCCCATCAAGCCCTAGAAATAGAGCTTCTGAAATTAACCACAGACTTTTAAAAGTTTTCTTAGGCAATGCTTTGAGCATTTGCTATTAGTTCAAAGAAATATGTTAGAACAAGACAAAACAGCCACACAGTGTAACAAATACATTTTAAAGTCATTGCCTCCACCTCTCACCCAGGATAAAAATATGTATACTTTTTTTTTTTTTTTTTGAGACAAGAGTCTTGCTCTGTCACCCAGGCTGGAGTGCAATGGCATGATCCTGGCTCACTGCAACTTCACCTCCCGGATTCAAACAGTTCTCGTGCCTCAGCCTCAGTAGCTGGGACTATAGACATGCGCCACAATAACTGGCTGATTTTTTGTATTTTAGTAGAGACGGGGTTTCATCGTGTTGTCCAGGCTGGTCTCCAACTCCTGAGCTCAGGCAGTCTGCCCGCCTCAGCCTCCCAGTGCCAGGATTACAGGTGTGAGCCACCGCGCCTGGCCTTATTTTATGCTTTTTTTTTTTTAGACGGAGTCTTGCTTTGTCACCAGGTTGGAGTGCAGTGGCACCATCCCCGCTCACCACAACCTCCGTTTCCCGGGTTCAAGCAATCCTCATGCCTCAGCCTCCAGAGTAGCTAGGATAACAGACACACGCCACTACTGCTGGGCTAATTTTTGTGTTTTTTTTGTAGAGACAGGGTTTCACCATGTTGGCCAGGCTGATCACGAACTCCTGACGTCTCGTGATCCACCCGCCTCGGCCTCCCAAAGTGCTGGGATTACAGGCGTGAGCCACTGCGCCCGGCCTATTTTATGCTTTTTGATAGCAAACCATTACTGTGGCTGTTCCCTATGTTAGGGTATCTAAGATCCCAAATTAATTCACATAATGAAGTGACGCCTTTTACCGCGTATTACACTCTTAAGGTTTCTTGGTTCATTTAACACAGAAATTCCGATCAGGTTTTTATTACTCCAGCCAAGTATGTGCTCAAATCAGAACTGTTTCCCTGGGTCTGACAGAGAAACACTGTAAGAAAATTATTCTGAACTTGATTTAGAAGGGGAAACTTCCCCAACTACTCCGGAGGCTGAGGCAGGAGAATCACTTGAACCTGGGAGTCAGAGGCTGCAGTGAGCTGAGGTCGTGCCACTGCACTCCAGCCTGGGAGACAGAGTGAGACTTTGTCTCAAAAAAAAAAAAAAAAAAAAAAGGAAAACTTCATGTTTACTGCCCACCCACACATTTCTAGAAACCTTCCTACTTTGGAGCTTTGTAATAAATTCAAAATGATGGCAAAACACCATTAAAAGGTTTAAAATATTTATCACTAAAAATATTAGAATGTTCTCTGAAAACCTATTAAAACATTTAAATATTCTTTTATGCTATTCTGATCAAAAGAAAGAATAAGTTTAGGAAAGGTTAAAAATGCAAATTTTTTTAAAAAGTTTATTTCTAGCCCTGAAAGAACAAAATTATTGAACAAAGTCGTAAAATACAGCAGTTAATGTCAATGTATAACAATTAAATAATTGAACGGGATTAAATTAAAAATAAAAGGCATTATAAAATTTGAAGACAACAGAAAAGACAAACTACTTTTACTTAATTCCACTTCTATCAAAACAAGGGAAAAAAAGCCAATGTGTTCCAACATTGAATTCCAAACATAACTGTTTCTCTTAATAAAGAATAGAAGTGTGCTTGGCAGAATCATCACCCATTCCTTTCTGCCTCTCTCGGCAGCACTCTAGAGGAGTGAATGGGAGAGACTTCCATTCCTTCAAAGGCAGCCAGTGCCTGCTTCTTTCTAACTCCAACCTCACCCACCACAGCATCTTTGCCAGAGTGTTCAATCAATGTGTTGGGGGAGAAAAAAGAAGGCGTGTATATATTTTTTCTTATATACACAACACTATCAAAAAACTGATTTTACCAGTTTCAATACCTACTGGGGGAGTGGAGACAGGAAGATAATCTGCTTTTTGTATTACAATGAAGTTCTACTATAAAAAAACCCCAAATGAGTATTAATCTGGATTTTAACTATAATCTGTAATATTTTGACACTGCCATTTTACTAGATGTGGATCTCAGTATATTTTAAAAGATTTAGACTCAAAAATTGATGCAAATTCTTTAAGCACCTTTTTTTTTTTTTTTTTTTTTTTTTTTAATTTTAGCTACTACCTGATCAGATCTAAAATTATTCTGGCCAGAATACAGTGTATACAAACATGTATTTAAGGGAGCCCTATAAAGAAATACTCATAGGTAGTTTAAAATTGCTTGTTAAAGGCACAGGCTCATTTACAATTGGTGGTTACTAGACTGTAAGCAGCTTAACATTTATATGTTAAAGGGAAGAGAATTAATACTATGTGCCAGGCACTCAATACATGAAGATAGAGTTGTATTAGCCTTGGTGTCTTATGCTGCACAATTACTCGTTTACTATTCTAGGTAGGATAAAATGTTCCATGTTTCATAGTTTCCCAGTTTTAACTGTCCCTAAAAGCAGCAGAAGAAAAAAGAAAAAGAGAAGATAACTTTAAGTCTAAAATAAAATAAATAAGTACTATAATAATACTGTCCTAATAACACAAGAGGACTATTAAGGTAACTTTTAGATTTAAATGAGAATTTTCATTCTAAAGTGATGACAAAAAGGGGGGATATAAAAGGCAATTATTTAAAAAACATGAGGCCAGGCGCAGTGGCTCACGCTTGTAATTGCAGCACTTTGGGAGGTCAAGGTGGGCAGACTGCCTGAGCTGAGGAGTTGGAGATCAGCCTGGACAACATGGTGAGACTCTGTCTCTACTAAAAATACAAAAAATTAGCTGGGTGTGGTGGCGTGCACCTGTGGTCTCAGCTACTCAGGAGGCTGAGGCACGAGAATTGCTTGAACCCAGGAAGCGGAGGTTGCAGTGAGCTGAGATCACACCACTGCACTCCAGCCTGGGTGACAGAGTGAGACTGTATCAAAAAATAAAAATAAAAATAAAAAATAAAAATCATGAATCTTGATTCAGATATAATTTTTCTTTCAACAAGTTCTGAATGTTTTAATTTAAAATTAATCACAATTCTGTATTGCTTTTAAGATTTTGTTTAAAAATGACACATTTCAAAATTAACCAAAGTATATTTCTGTTAGAGGTTAGTTTATCCACGTAACTTAAGAATAAACCACAGTGTAGCTCCCTTAACCAAAGAGCCAGGTTTTAATGACTGAAGTCAGTTGCCAGCAATGGACGTGCAGGTAACTATCGAAGAAGCTGTAACTACAAATCCCAAACTGCTTCTATCAATGGAAAAGCCCTTTGTTGAGTCACAAGCCTGAAACGAGGCATTGGCACACAGTCAATGAGGATGGTCTTTGACTTAGGAGGGAAGTGCCTCTGAGGGCACGAGGATCACAGTCTTCTCATCTAGGTGGTTTTCTATTTCATTGGTAGCATCTTCTTTATCACAATCCATCCAGCTGTTTACACAGAAAGTTAAAATGTGGAACTCAGGTGGCACTGCAGCTTTCTGCCAGAAGTAAACCAGTTTCTGTAATTCAGTAATAGCTGTAGAAGGCCAATATATTCCAGAGAAAAATGAAATCAAGAATTATATTGAAAACAGAGACCATTAAGTGCTCTAAATATGTTTCATTAATTATTTTACTCATTTTTCTGAAAACCTTCTTGCCTAATCAATGAAAAAGTCACTTCTCTCCTTATAATTGTATCTTAACATAGATATAGCGGGAATAAAATAATGGAAATAAAACCCTTCTAGTTTCCCCAATGTATACTACAACAGCAAAATGATTTTTTATTCATGATTTATACTGCAGGATGGGAAGCAGGGGGGAAGTTCATGGGGGAAGGGGATGGTGGGAACAAAATGCCAGAACCAAACCACTGATACTTGAACAACACCTACTCCAAAAGCAAAACTACGAATAGGAGAAGGAGAGGAGAGGAAAGCAGAGAAGAGAGGAGAAAGGGAGGGGAGGGGAGAAAGGAGGGCACTCAAATAATTAATGCTACAGGTCTCAGACCTTTTAGAATCTTTAAAAGAAACAAATTATTGCTATCAACACGCACATTTCATTTTCCTTTCTCGTTTTTTATAATAGTCTCTACTTATTTGGAAAAAAAAAAAAGTAACTCAACATCTCAAATGATCTATAAATTCACAAGAAATACTCTGTCACTCAAGTTCTCACAGACAATGCCACACTGATGATGACCCCGGGCAATGCGCCCACGGCCGATTTGCTATCAGCTGCTTCTCTGTAACACAAACATTCTCCTTCATGAGTATAATCTCTTCTCACTATATCAGAGCTCACCAAGGTCCACATCTCTCACTCTGCCTCTGCTAGTCCCAAATATTTTTCTCCTTTAAGTGGAAAAAACCTAATTTTAAGTTCCGAAAATTCACTGGTTATTATGTTATTTGCCATGGGAGGGAGTATCTGTGAGGTGAGAGAGGATTAAGGAAAAACAAAAAGAACAAACCTAAATCTAAAATTGCAACATATACAGAAATTTATTTCCAAATTGAAGGGGGAAAGGAGAGAAGAGGAAGGTAGGGCACTAACCAAAGTCATAAAGTCCAGGTTGGAACAAGGAACAAATCACTTTGGTTCCTGGAGCCAAACCTGAAGGGGAAACAGGCAGAAGGGAAGACAAAATGGGAAGAAGTCTACAGTCAATGGGAATCTTTTTCTATCTCAATGATTTAGTTATAAATAGAGATTATTAGTCTTCTCTCTATACATGTAACAAATGCCAAACTTACTACCACGAAATTTCTAAAACTGACTTTTTCACATTTGTTAAAAAAGGTAAAAATCACACACTCTTCTTCCCTTCCTTCAGGTCAAGTTCTGAACTAAAATATTACATGTAACAACAGCTGGTCCTAACTTTTATACAAAGTGAAACTATATAGAGCTCCTTTGCCAACAGAAGGAGCTACATAATTTCTATTACACTTGCCTAGGCATGAGAAACTCAAAAGCAACTCAAAAGGAGCAAGTCCAGGGAAAGGAAAGCTATGAAGGAGAGAAAGACTAGCAGATAAACAAATACTCTGAAAAACTCCAATCTGCCATTCAAGTATTGGAAATACTCCAAAGGGGACAATGAATGGGATCTATTACAACAAAGTCAGCAAAGTAAAATGCAAATCTCACACATGATAAATGGCCCTGATAGGCTGTTTGCTGAAAAGACCTAAGGCTAGTGATTCAGTCCACAATTCCTTTTGGACCCTAAAGAAGGGGTTCATATAAAAGTCATACTTTTCTTTTTGCAATTTTCTCTTGGTTGTCTTCAGAGAATAGTCACTTGCTTCTTTCATTCAGGTTATGCAGACCATTTCTTTAAACCCCAAAAAGAGTAATAATTTTCATATACTAAAAGGCTTCTTGTAGAAAATGGAAAAAAGAATATGAGGCCACAGCAGTGATGTTAACGGTTACTCTTCATCGCTTCTTTAGCTGCCATGATCAGTGGTGTCAAGCTAGATAATGGTTTGGCCAGTTTCAAGAAAGGATGCTGCCAGAAAGAAGGGGAAAAATAAATGTGTAAGTGCTATTCATCAGGTTAGAAACAAAATAATTTTGTTCAATTAAGCCCCAAAGACTACTTGTCAATCATAATTTATTTAATAAACTAAACACATATTAACACCTTCATAAGACTAACATAATCAATGCATTACTTTCAGAGTTGAATGAAAGCAGAATCATTTCAGTTTGACAAATATACACAAATATACGCAAGCCAGCAATAAACAGGTCTGAGGACTGTAAACAGGTCCGAGGACCGACACTACACGCAGACTGTAAACAGGTCCGAGGACCGACACTAGGCGCAGACTGTAAACAGGTCTGAGGATTGATACTATGCACAAACTGCACACTGTGGTATTGTCAGAATTTTAATCCCAGCAGATGAACCCCCCTTTTTAATACTTTAAGTTCTAGGGTACATGTGCACAACGTGCAGGTTTGTTACATATGTATACATGTGCCATGTTGGTGTGCTGCACCCATTAACTCATCATTTACATTAGGTATTTCTCCTAATGCTATTCCTCCCCCCTCCCCCCTGCACCATGACAGGCCCCCGTGTGTGATGTTCCCCACCCTGTGTCCAACTCATTGCTCAACTCCCACTTATGAGAACATGCGGTGTTTCATTTTCTGTTCCTGTGTTAGTTTGCTCAGAATGATAGGATGAAACCCTAAATTGCAGCAGCTGCCATACCGCTAGTGATCAATGAATAGTGAAATCTAATTATTAGCCCTAGGAAAATTTTCTGTTGGTTACCAAAAGAGTCAACTATTCCCCCAAATGAAATCATTTTTAAATTTACCTGTAATAATTCTTTGGCTGAACCCCTTTTTTCCACATCCATTTCCAAACATCGATTTAAGAAATCTCGAAATATTGGGGAAAGTTTCTCTGGATTCTGAAGCTCTGGGGTTCCATTAGTTGCTATTAGGTACAAGGCCTAAAAATAGAAGAACATCTTTGATCCACTTAAGATAGCTCAGCACGGCCGGTCACGGTGGCTCACGCCTGTAATCCCAGCACTTTGGGAGGCTGAGGCAGGTGGATCACAAGGTCAGGAGATCGAGACCACCCTGGCTAATTACGGTGAAACCCCGTCTCTACTAAAAATACAAAAAAATTAGCCGGGCGTGATGGCGGACGCCTGTAGTCCCAGCTACTCGGGAGGCTGAGGCAGGAGAATGGCGTGAACCCAGGAGGCAGAGGTTGCAGTAAGCCGAGATCCGGCCACTGCACTCCAGTCTGGGCAACAGAGAGAGACTCTGTCTCAAAAAAAGAAAAGGATAGCTCAGCACAGTCACAGAGCCATGAATAAAGTCTATGAACTTTTCTTCTTTAAAGAAAATCATCATAAAATACTAAACTGGGCTTATCATTATCTCATTTAAATTTAGATTTGATACTTTCCTCTTATTTTTAGATGTTACATTTCTCTAAGTTATTCTTCCAAAATCAGATTCACATTTGGTTTTTCTTTAGTTATAAATGCGATGCATATTGCTTTTGTTTTGTTTTGTTTTTTTGTTGAGACAGAGTCTCACTCTGTCACCAAGGCTGGAGTGCAGTGGTGCAATCTTGGCTCACTGCAACCTCTGCCTCCCGGGTTCAAGTGATTCTCCTGCCTCAGCCTCCGGAATAGCTGGGATTACAGATGCCACTATGACCAGCTAATCTTTGTATTTTTAGTAGAGATGGGGTTTCACCATATTGGTCAGGCTGGTCTTGAACTTTTGACTTCAAGTGATCCATCTGCCTCGGCCTCCCAAAGTGCTAGGATTACAGGCGTGAGCCACTGTGCCCAGTCCATATTGCTTTAAAAAATAAAAAATGTTAATAATTAAAAATAACCACAATCTCACCATTGATCATCCTGCTTAGTTTTCTCAAATTTTTTTCAAGTCATACGTATCATTTTTAAAAATGAGATTTGTGAAGACTTAAAAAAAAAATTAGGCTGGGCATGGTGGCCCATGCCTGTAATCCTAGCACTCTAAGATGCTGAGACAAGTGGATTGCCTGAGCTCAGGAGCTCGAGACCAGGCTGGGCAACATGGCAAAACCCCACTGCTACTAAAAATTCAAAAAAAAAAAAAAAAAATTAGCTGGGTGTGGTGGCACACGCCTGTAGTTCCAGTTACTTGGGAGGCTGAGGCAGAACGCTTGAATGTGGGAGGTGGAGGTTGCAGTGAGTGGAGATTGCACCCTGAACTCCAGCCTGGGCAACAGAGGAAGACTCTGTCTCAAAAATAAAAACCAAAACCAAATTATCCCAGGTCATCATTACTAGTAACTACCTAGATCTATAAAACTACTGTAATGGCTTAAGTAAACACTGCCTTATATGAATGTTTCCTAATTTAATCAACTCCCTTTAGAAAATCCTTATGTAGTTCTAATTATTTCCTCTACAGTTCTATACATTTAATTAACTTATTTATTTTTGAGACAGAGTCTGGCTCTGTGGCCCAGACTGGAATGCAATGGTGCGATCTCAGCTCAATGCAACCTTCACCTCCTGAGTTCAAGCGATTCTCCTGCCTCAGTCTTCCGAGTAGTTAATTTTTTTGTATTTTCAGTAGAGACAGCATTTCACTATGTTGGACAGGCTGGTCTTAAACTCCCGACCTTGTGATCCACCTGCCTTGGCCTCGCAAAATGCTGGGATTACAGGTGTCAGCCACTGCATCCAGCCTATTTTTCTTTTGAGACACAGTCTCGCTCTGTTGCCCAGGCTGGAGTGCAGTGGCATGATCTCAGCACACGGCAACCTCTGCCTCCCGGGTTCCAACAATTCTCGCATCTCAGCCTCCTGAGTAGCTGGAGGTACAGGCAGGCACCACTATGACCGACTAATTTTTGTATTTTTAGTAGAGACGGGGTTTCACCACGTTGGCCAGGTTGGTCTCAAACTCCTGACCTCAAGGGATCTGCCCACCTTGGCCTCCCAAGTGCTGAGATTACAGGTGTGAGCCACTGCACCTGGTCCTGAATTATTATTTTTAATTGACTATTTTTTTTTTTAGAAGTTTTAGGTTTACAGGAAATTGAGCAGAGAGTACAGAGTTCCCACACGCAGCCTCCCTCATGTGGAGTGTTACTATTATCTGCATTATTACACTATGGGACACTTGTTACTAATGAACCAATACTGATACGTTTCTATTAAACTAAAGCCCTCAGTTTACATTAGGGTTCACTGTGTATTACATTATATAGTCTTATGGTTTTTTTTGTTTTGTTTTTAGTTTTCTTATGCAGTCTCGATATGTTGCCCAGACTGGCCTTGAACTCCTGGGCTCAAGAGATGCTCCTGCTTCAGCCTTTCAAGTAGCGGGGACTACGGGTGTGCACCACCGTGCCTAGTTGTTCCATGGGTTTTGAAAATGAACACTGTCCAGTGTCCACCATTATAATATCATACAAAGTAACTTCAGTGCCCAAAAAACTCCCCGTGCTTCATCTACTCCTCCTCTCTACCCTCCGGCCCTGCCAAACCCCATAGCCACTGATCGTTTTCATTTTTACTCTCTCTAGTTGAAACAATACGTAGCCTTTTTAGACTGGGTTCTTTCACTAAGCAATATGCATTTAAAGTTCTTACAACTGAAATGCAGTTGTAAGACTGTTTTAATGAGCTTGTGTGGTAATTCTTTTATCTGTGCCAGTTCTGTGTCTGTTTCAGTTGACTGGATGTTTTTCTCATTATAGTCTGCATTCGCCTGCTCCTTTGCCTATCTGGTAAACTTTGACTGGATGTCTGGGTGCTTGCTGGGTCCTGGCTACTTCTGTATTCCTACAAATATGCTTTTTCCCCCCTTTAGGCAGATAAAATCTTGTTTTATTTGAATGACTGGATCTATGTAATCACCAAGATCCGCTATGTATAGACAAGAGAGGGAGACCTTTATTCTTAGTTTCTTCCTCCTGGGACAGTCTTAATGACTTTCTCCTTCTTGGACCAGTGCTTTCCTGGTCTTAGACCCACGTGCCCTGGCCTGGTCAACCAGAAGCTTCTTGAGGCCTTGTCTATATTCAGCATGGAATCAGTTCCCAAAGAACCTGCTTGTTTTTGAACATGTCCCCCCTTCACTTCATGTACATGTAAAGGCCAATCTTCGTGGATTCACAGTGTCTTCTGAGCAGCTGGGACGGAATTCTCGTCTTCCTCATCCATGTTGCCTTTTTGGTAATTTGTGCATTAGCAGTTATGCCCATATGCCTGTGGGCCAAGGTGGTTTTTTTGTTTTTGAGACAGAATCTCTCTGCCGCCCAGTTTCAAGCAATTCTCCGGCCTCAGCCTCCCGAGTAGCTGGGAATACAGGAGCCCGCCACGACGCCTGGCTCATTTTTGAATTTTTAGTAGAGACAAGGTTTCACCATGTTAGGCTGGTCACGCCTGACCTCAAGTGATCCGCCCACCTCAGCCTCCCAAAGTGCTGAGATTACAGGCGTGAGCCACCGCGCCCGACCAAGGGTTTTTTTTTTTTTTTTTTTTTGCGGGGGGCGGGGGATCCAGCCTGGGAATGGATAGTCACAGGCGTGCAGAAGATCAGCCCATCTTTGGAAAGCTTCTGGATCTGCTGATAGGAGCTGGCGCTGGTGATTTCACCAGTCTCACTGGGGTTCAAATATACCTTTTTGTCACAGTGAAGGCCACTGGAGGCGAGCCTCTTCTGAAGCCTAAGCGCACTCCTGGCTGTGGGCGCAGTCCTGTAATATTCTTCAGCTTTGTACAGGAAAGCAATTAAGTTACTTGGGAACAGATCCCGTTGGTCTTCTCTCTCCCATGTAGACTCCTCTTTCAAAATACATCCAGAATCCCACCACTTTTTACCACCTCCGCTGATACCGTCCTGGTCGAGGCTATCATCACTGCTTGCCTGAATCATTACATCAGCCTCCTAACTGGTCTTCTGCTCTGCCTTTGCCTTCCTCAAGAATCTCTCAACAAAGTAGCCAGGGCAATCCTATTAAAACCTAAGGAGACCAACTTACTCCTCCACTCAAATCTCTCTAACAGTTTCCCTATCTGGCCTCCAGTAAAAGCCAGAATCCTTCCAAGGGTCTCATAAGGCACTACAGCCTGGCCTGGTTTCTCTGCAGATCGACCGCACCACTTGCTGTTTGTTCAGCAGAGGCCAGCTATGCTGAGGTCCGTCATCACCTCTTGATACACCAGGCACGCTCCTGCTTTAGGGCTTTTGCACGTGCTGTGCCTTCTGTTTAGAATCCTTTCCCCTTAGGTAAGTATCACTCTCGCACTTCCTGTGTCCAAATATCACCTCACCTCAGTGAAGCCCTCCCTATGCATGCTTTTGATTTAATTTTAAAATTTATTTTTATTGTATTTTTTTGGAGACAGGGCCTAGCTGTCACCCAAGCTGGAGTGCAGTGATGTGAGAACAGCTCACGGCAGCCTCATCTTCCTTGGGCCCAAGTGACCCACCCACTGAGGCGGGATGGTCCCAGTTAGCTGTGACTACAGGCACACACTAACATGCTTGGCTAATTTTTAAAATTTTTTTTGTAGAGATGGGGTCTCACTATGTTGCCTAGGCTGGCCTTGAACTCCTAGGCTCAAGAAATCCTCCCACCTTGGCCTCCCAAAATACTGGGATGACAGGCACGAGCCACTGTGCCCAGCTCTCCAAGCACCTTTTGGAAGTAAACGCCCTAACCTCCTTCCTGCCAGTCTCAGCACTCAAGAGTCCATTCTTCAATGTATTACACATTATTCTGTTTATTTGGTTTTTCTCTCTTTTCCCATTAGAATATAAGTTCTGTAAGAGCAGGAATTTGTGTGGGTTCTTTTAGACAGCCTTTTTAGTGCTTAGCACACGGCAGGTACTCAAATCAATACTGGCTAAATGAATGAATGAAATTAGAGGACTTTAAACATCGTTCTGAAAAGTACCCTAATTAATCACCTCTAGAGAAGTACTTTAACTGCGCACATGAACTGGAATCTTTGGCAACGGGATGAAAAGCATTCAGGATACAGAGGGCCAGAATCTACTGCCATCTGTTATTCAGTTTCTTTCACTTAGCACCATACTTTGAAGGCTCAGTGCTGCAACACAGATTGGCACTTCCTTCCTATGACCAAATAATATTCCACTGTTCAGCAGGTTTGAATTATTTCCATTTTTAGTGGAAATAATTGAGGCTGCATGCAGGCTTTTGTATGGATGTATGATTGTAATTCTCTTGGCTCTGCTGTCTGTACCCAGCAGAGGAACTCTTAGGTCATCTGGTAATCCAGTATTCACTTCATACAGAATTGTCAAATTGTTTTCTAAGGCAGATGTACCATTTTATATTTTGCAATGAACAAGGGTTCCAGTTTATCTTCTCACCAACATTTATTTATTTATTTATGGAGACAGAGTTTTGCTTTGTTGCCCAGGATGGAGTGCAGTGGTGCGATCTTGGCTCACTGCAACCTCTGCCTCCCGGGTTCAAGCGATTCTCTTGCCTCAGCCTCCCAAGTAGCTGGGATTACAAGTGCCCACCACCGCACCCAGCTAATTCTGTATTTTTAGTAAAGATGGGGTTTCTCCATGTTGGTCAGGCTGATCTTGAACTCCCAACCTCGGCCTCCCAAAGTGCTGGGTTTACAGGTGTGAGCCACCGCACCTGGCCACCAACATTTATTATTGTCTTTTTGAGTATAACAATTCTAGTAGTTGGAAGTGTTATCCTGTTGGGGTGGGTTTTTTGCTGTTGTTGTTTTCTGAGATAGAGTCTCACCCTGTCGCCCAGGCTGGAGTGCAGTAGCTCTTGGCCACCTTGGCTCACCGCAACTGCCACCTCCTGGGTTCAAGCAATTCTCTTGCCTCAGCCACTGATTGTTGAGGTTCTGATTTACATTTCCTTAATAAGTGATAATGTCGAACCACATATGGTAATTTAAAAGAAAAAGAAGTGGCCAGGCACAGTGGCTCACACTTGTAATGCCAGCACTTTGGGAGGCCAAGGTGGGTGGATCAACTGAGGTCAAGAGTTTGAGACCAGCCTGACCCAACATGGAGAGACCCCGTCTCTATAAAAATACAAAAATCAGCTGGGTGTGGTGGCGCACACCCACAGTTCCAGCCACTTGGGAGGCTGAGGTAGGAGGATCGCTTGAACCTGAGAGGTGGAGGTTGCAGTGAGCTGAGATTGCGCCACTGCACTCTAGACTAGGCAACAGAGTGGGACCCTGTCTCAAAAAATCTTAAAACATAAAAGAAGGAGAAGGTTTAGAGGCAGGTGCTCCAAACTTCCTATGTAAAATACAAAACAATACAGCTTACTACTAAAAACCTACCAAGTCTTCACCTAGCACATTAATTTGTGACTCAGAAAGCAAATGATTTTCAGATGAAGAGTTAGGGGCAGAGACTAGGTTTTATCAACTTTCTACTTTAAATTCAAGAAAAATATTTACAAGGCTGGTGTTTAATTGATCTTACCCTCAAGGGATTTTCATTGAGGTATGGAGGCTCTCCTTCTACCATCTCAATAGCCATGATACCCAGAGACCATATGTCGACTTTGGGGCCATAAGCTTTCCGTGTAACCACCTCTGGTGCCATCCAGTATGGGGTTCCGACCATGGTACTGCGTTTGCTCTGCTCGGGGGTGATCTGGGCACAGAAACCAAAGTCAGCTACAAAACAAAACAGAACAGAGTTAATGGTTTCCACAGATCGTTTTAACAAAGGAGTTCACTTCAGATGATGTAATTAATTATATTTTGACTCTTCAGCCTCTTGTTTTTAAGGATTTTATTAATAAAGTAAACCAGAATGAGTTTAAAAATATTTTCATGATGTAACACACTCTCACATTTTACTTTTACTTGTCACAGAGTCCAAATTATCAGAAGGCCTTTTATTCTGAATAATTCATTCTCTCCTAAAAAATCTTTTTTCTTTTTTTTTTTTTTGAGACGGAGTCTCGCTCTGTCGCCCAGGCTGGAGTACAGTGGCGCGATCTCGGCTCACTGCAAGCTCCGCCTCCCGGGTTCCCGCCATTCTCCTGCCTCAGCCTCCGGAGTAGCTGGGACTACAGGCGCCCGCCACCGCGCCCGGCTAATTTTTGTATTTTTAGTAGAGACGGGGTTTCACCGTGTTGACCAGGATGGTCTCGATCTCCTGACCTCGTGATCCTCCCACCTCGGCCTCCCAAAGTGCTGGGATTACAAGCGTGAGCCACCGCGCCCGGCCTCTCCTAAAAAATCTAAGAGAACTGAAAGAGGTCCATGAACAAGTAAGCGAAGGCAGACGCCGAAACTAAAGGCAGTGATCAGGCAAAGGTCGAAGGTCAGGCCACGGAAACCACTTTGTCTTTGAATTCTGTTTAATTTTTAAAATTTCCTGTAGAGAGGGAGTCTCCCTATGTTGCCTAGGCTGGTCTTGAACTCTTGGGCAACACAGGGAGGGATCTTCATACCTTGGCCTCCCAAAGTGTTGAGATTACAAGTGGGAGCCACCACACCCAGCTGTAAACTGTTTTTGAATAAAACAAACAGAAGCAGGCCGGGCCCGGTGGCTCACGCCTGTAATTCCAGCACTTTGGGAGGCCGAGACGGGCAGATCACGAGGTCAGGAGATCGAGACCATCCTGACTAACACGGTGAAACGCCGTCTCTACTAAAAATACAAAAATTAGCCGGGCGCGGTGGCGGGCGCCTGTAGTCCCAGCTACACGGGAGTCTGAGGCAGGAGAATGGCGTGAACCCGGGAGGCGGAGCTTGCAGTGAGTGGAGATCGAGCCACTGCACTCCAGCCTGGGCGACAGAGCGAGACTCCATCTCAAAAAAAAAAAAAAAAAAAAAAAAAAAAACAGAAGCTAGAGTCACTAAACATCCATCATCTCAGCAGAGAGCCTAGAAAAAGAACACACTGAACTGCACCAAGCGATGAGTTCGCCGCCCGTGCTACCTTCTCAGCCATCTCACCTGGAACAGAGGCGCAGGACGCCTGGTGTAGTACTCAATATTCATTTAGTGGAAAAGTCAGGATTCGTATTTAGAATTCTTCCTTATGCTGTTCAACCCATTCTACTCCATATGTGACTACTGTTAAAATTTAGGTTTGTAAGCTTTAGACTGTTGGTTACGCATGTACATATATGCATGAATAAAATCTATGAACTGTTTGGTTTGCATTATCAATCAGGATATTCTGTAAACTTTTGTAAAACCTTTTTTTTAAAGAGACCTTTCCGTATCAGTACATTTATCTGCCTACTTAAACATTTTTTATTTTTAAATTTTTTGTCACAGTGTTTCACTCCGTTGCCCATGCTAAGTGCAGTAGAGCAACTTCAGCTCACTGCAACCTCTGCCTCCTGTGCTCAAGCCATCCTCCTACCCCAGCCTCCCAAGTAGCTGGGATTAGAGGCGTCTGCCACCATGCCCAGCTAACTGTTGTATTTTTAGTAGAGATGGAGTCTTGCCATGTTGCTCAGTCTAGTCTCGAACTCCTGGGCTCAAGCAATCCACCTGCCTCGGCCTCCCAAAGTGCTGGGATTTTTTTTTTTTTTTTGAGATGGAGTCTCGTCGCCCGGGCTGGAGTGCAGTGGCCGGATCTCAGCTCACTGCAAGCTCCGCCTCCCGGGTTTACGCCATTCTCCTGCCTCAGCCTCCCGAATAGCTGGGACTACAGGCGCCCGCCACCTCGCCCGGCTAGTTTTTTTTTTTTTTGTATTTTTTTAGTAGAGACGGGGTTTCACCGTGTTAGCCAGGATGGTCTCGATCTCCTGACCTCGTGATCCGCCCGCCTCGGCCTCCCAAAGTGCTGGGATTACAGGCTTGAGCCACCGTGCCCGGCCAGTGCTGGGATTACAGGCGTGAGCCACTGCACCTGGCCTGCCTCATCTTAAAAACTACACAGAGGGCTGGGCGCGGTGGCTCACGCCTGTAATCCCAGCACTTTAGGAGGCCCAGGCAGGTGGATCACGAGGTCAGGAGATCGAGACCATCCTGGCTGACATGGTGAAACCTTGTCTCTACTAAAAATATAAAAAACTAGCCGGGTGTGGTGGCGGGCACCTGTAGTCCCAGCTACTCTGGAGGCAGAGGCAGGAGAATGGCGTGAACCCGGGAGGCAGAGCTTGCAGTGAGCGGAGATCGTGCCACTGCACTCCAGCCCGGGTGACAGAGCGAGACTCCGTCTCAAAACAAAAAAAAAACAACAAACAAACAAACAAAAAAAACTACACAGAATATAAAAATATAATAATCTATTTAATTTATTCTCTTACTGCTCAACACTTAAGATAGTTTTGGTTTTTCTTTACAATATTGCAGAGAACATCCTTGTACTTACTGTGGTATGTAAGTTCAGAAATTCTACAGGAGAGAATTCTAAAAGGGTAACAGTTAGGTCAAATAATATTTATAGCTAAAATGAGTACTTAAAACAACCCAGGTACTGTTTAAGTACCTTATAAGAATTAAAATATTTAATCCTCATGGTAACCCTACGAGAAAGGTACATTTATTATTACAATTATTCCCATTTTACAAATAGGAAAACGGAGGCACAAAAACAACTTATCCAAGGTTATTCACCGAGTAAATGGCAGAGCCAGGAAAAAAAAAATGTCATTCAAAAGTTTAATTCAGTTGCATGTGTATTCATCAAAAATGAATGAGAGCATGCCCATTAAGATTACTTAAAAATAAGCAATCATGGCCGGGCATGGTGGCTCACGCCTGTAATCCCAGCACTTTGGGAGACTGAAGCGGGCAGATCACCTGAGTTCAGGAGCTCGAGACCAGCCTGACCAACGTGGAGAAACTCCATCTCTACTAAAAATACAAAAATCAGATGGGTGTGGTGGGGCGCGCCTGTAATCCCAGCTACTCAGAAGGCTGAGGTGGGAGAATTGCTTCAACCCAGGAGGCGGAGGTTTCAGTGAGCCGAGATCGCGCCGTTGCACTCCAGCCTGGGTGACAAGAGCAAAACTCCGTCTCAAAAGAAAAGACATTACCTAAAACGTCGCATCTAGTGGTAATTATTAGGTAATGTCTTATCTAGCTAGTCCTTTCTCTGGCACTGATTAGTTAAAACCCTCAGAGTATCACTCAGTTTTCAAAGGTCTTACCTCTTCCTATATTAAATCATTATTAATCCTTGCATTGGTCAAGAAAAGTTTTTAATTAAACAAAAGGCAGAAACTTAAAATAAAAAACAGTGGTTTGTCCATTTGTTACTCACTGAGCTTAACCGATCCTTCCATTCCCAAAAGGACATTGTCGCTTTTGATGTCTCTGTGGATCACTTGATTAGCATGTAAAAACTCCAACGCCTGCAAACACTGAACAGAAGAAAACACCTATTCATGAAACAGCCCCGAAAAGACACAGGGAGGTTCCCGTACAGTAGTTATGGCCTGAGCACTGCTTCCAGTACCCAGAAAAGACCCACCAATACTTTTAGTTATAAAGAGAAGACATCCTCTCTTATATACAAAGTTATGAAAAGTAATTATATCTCCTCCTTCAAGTTTTATATAAGAAAATAAAATTTTTTGAAAAGTTAGTAGGCCGGGCGCGGTGGCTCAAGCCTGTAATCCCAGCACTTTGGGAGGCCGAGACGGGCGGATCACGAGGTCAGGAGATCGAGACCATCCTGGCTAACACAATGAAACCCCGTCTCCACTAAAAATACAAAAAAATTAGCCGGGCGTGGTGGCGGCGCCTGTAGTCCCAGCTACTCGGGAGGCTGAGGCAGGAGAATGGTGGGAACCCGGGAGGCAGAGCTTGCAGTGAGCCAAGATCGCGCCACTGCACTCCAGCCTGGGCGACAGAGCGAGACTCCGCCTCAAAAAAAAAAAAAAAAAAAAAAAAAAAGAAAAGTTAGTAGATGCCCTCCTATCCTCTGATCTTACTCAGGGACACTGTTGAGCTGGGTCTGTATAATTTCTTGTCTCCTGGCCGGGTAAGGCAGGTAGATCACTTGAGGGCAGGAGTTCAAGACCAGCCTGGCCAACATAACAAAACCCTATCTCTACTAAAAAATACAAAAATTAGCCAGGTGTGATGGCTCACTCTTGTAATCCCAGCACTTTGGGAGACCAAGGCAGGTGGATCATCTGAGGTCAGCAGTTCCAGACCAGCTGGGCCAACATGATGAAACCTTGTGTCTGCTAAAAATACAAAGAAAATAGCTGGGTGTGGTGGCACGCACCTGTAACCACAGCTACTCAGAAGGCTGAGGTAGCAGAATTGCTTGAACCTGGGAGGCAGAGGTTGCAGTGAGCCGAGATCGCGTCACTGCACTCCAGCCTGGGAGACAGAGCAAGACTCCATCTCGGAAAAAAAAAAAGACAGAAAGAAAGAAAAATTAGTGAGGTGTGGTGCCTCAGGCCTGTAATCCCAGCTACTCGGGTGGCTGGGGCAGGAGAAGCCCTTGAATCTAGGAGGCGGAGGTTGCAGCAAGCTGAGATTGTGCCACTGCACTCCAGCCTGGGTGAGAGAGCGAGACTCAGTCTCAAAACAAAACAACAATAAAAAATTGCCTCTTTCAGGTTTAAATGCCTAAAGGTATACAACACTTAGTAAACATGCACAGGCTCTTCAGAAATCATTTCAACAGTAATGAAAAAAACTTGATCATTCCCATCTGAATGAGAGATACTCGAAGGCTAGTCAATGTGAGCCACTGAGAAGCGGTAAGATTCTGGGTGGCCGCTTCCATCTGGCTGTTCATCAGAGACAAGATGTTCTTCTTCAGTGACGGATTTTAATTCAGCTGCATCTACAACTTGGACATGAATGACGAAAGAATAGCTTTCCCCTTACACCGTATTCCACAGAGCACCGAGTCACAAAGTAGGCGCAAACTCTTCACTTCCTTACAAACGAGAACGAGATGACGTTTAAAACATCTGCCCACTCTGGTGTTTTTGAATATAAACTACGGGTGTAAGTTGGCTGTGCTTTTATTTCTTACTCCCATCACAGGAGAACAAAGTCAGCACAACTAAAAATCTCATCCAAAATCTACTATTCATTCAAGGAAAAACAGACAAATTGGGTGTTACACCACAATATATTTACCAGGAAATAATCAGATACAAAGCTCCAGAAAATATTTGTACAAATAAATAGAAAGAAAACTGTCACAATTAAAAAGTTCTGGCACACAAAAGAAAACTCAAATTAGAGGAACTCCCAAAATTAATTTTTATATAGATTACAAAGAAATCTGTAGAAAAAACAAAATTAAGTATAAATAGGTAAATTATTGTTTTTATCAGCTTTCCAGTGACCAAGCATCCATTGTTAAGGAATATCATATGCTATTAATATTCTATTCAAGAGTTCTTATTTCCTCCCTTCAACCAAAGAGGTACTATTCCTCAGGTAGAACATAATTCAGAATTAAAATTTTCAAAGAATTTTTTTTTTTTTTTTTTTTGAGACGGAGTCTCGCTCTGTCTCCCAGGCTGGAGTGCAGTGGCCGGATCTCAGCTCACTGCAAGCTCCACCTCCCAGGTTTACGCCATTCTCCTGCCTCAGCCTCCCGAGTAGCTGGGACTACAGGCGCCCGCCACCTCTCCCGGCTAGTTTTTTGTATTTTTTAGTAGAGACGGGGTTTCACCGGGTTAGCCAGGATGGTCTCGATCTCCTGACATCGTGATTCACCCATCTCGGCCTCCCAAAGTGCTGGGATTACAGGCTTGAGCCACCACGCCCGGCCTCAAAGAATATTTTTAACACCTTAAGATGACAGATGGAAAAGGGAAATATATATGTATCATCCTTACATGAACAAAGTTTGTAATTCACATGTCCCTGAAGAACTGTTGAAGCCAAATCACAGAAAACACAATACAGTCCTACAAGCTTAAAATTCTGCCCTTTGTGACAGTGATTCCTATGATATTAGAAATTTCAATGACAATAAGCAAACCATTAGCCCAAAACTTATCTGTAGAAAAAGCTGAGATATAGGTGGGAAAAAGAAGGCCTATTTTTGGCTTAAATTGGCAATTTGGCAGAATTCTACTGGCTTAAGCTAATAGTATGTCTAGAAATTCATTAATGAATATAAAGAAATAACCAGTTTCTTCACCATTAGTGAACTCAATGAAGCTAGGCACAGACTTATTGATACTTAAGGCGAGTAAGTGTCCTGCTTCACCTGAGATAGTTCTAGTTTCCACTGTTGAGTGGTGCATTTCTTTCTTTCTTTTTTTTTGAGACAGTCTTGCTCTGTCGCCAGGCTGGAATGCAGTGGCGCGATCTCGGCTCACTGCAGCCTCCACCTCTTGGGTTCAAGTGATTGTCCTGCCTCAGCCTCCTGAGTAGCTGGGATTACAGGCATGCACCACCACACCCAGTTAATTTTTGTATTTTTAGTAGGGATGGGGTTTCACCATGTTGGCCAGGATGGCCTCTATCTCTTGACCTTGTGATCCGCCTGCCTCGGCCTTCCAAAGCGCTGGGATTACAGGCATGAGCCACTGCGCCTGGCCTCTTTTTTTTTGAGACAGACTCTTGCTCTGTCGCCAGGCTGGAGTGCTGTGGCACGATCTCAGCTCACTGCAATGTCTCCCTCCCCAGCTCAAGCGATTCTCCTGCCTCAGCCTCCCGAGTAGCTGGGATTACAGGCACGCGCCATCACGCCCAGCTAATTTTGTATTTTTAGTAGAGATGGGGTTTCACCATGTTTCCCAGGCTGGTCTCAAACTCCCGACCTCAGGGAATCTGCCTGCCTCGGCCTCCCAAAGTGCTAGGATTACCAGCATGAGCCACCACTTCCAGCTGAGCGGTGTATTTCTAATGGTATACACCCTTTTACTCTCAAAAGTGTCCTGTTTGGATGGTAAATGATCGTCATCACTCTACCGGAATTTCCTTGTGAATCTGGATCTTCAAAGGTCCACAATTCATTCCCAAATTATCTTATACCTGAAGGAAAGGGCTGAAATGCCTGTGTAGGATGAAATGGTATGGGGATGGAGTAACTTGTAGAGAATGTGTACAGAGAAAGCACTTCCCACAATAACAATTAACTGTGCAGAAAAAGTTCCTTTTGTTACTTCTTGCTAACCACATATCACCATAACATATCAAGGAGGAGGCACACCTACCTCTCTGCATACAGCAGCAATCTGTGCTTCATCCATGCAGGTTTCTGTTACCACATCAGTGAGCGATCCACCAGCAAGGTATTCCATGACCACAAACAATTCATCTCCTACCAGGTAACTAAAAATACACATACCAAAGACACTCACACTTACATTTTTTCTAAACACATGGTATCCTATGTTGAAGAATTCAAATATTAAACACCCTAACAATGAAACTAGAGGGCTGGTAGCTTGAGAGTTAGGAAGAAAATTGGAAAGCTGCTATGTAACAGCACAGAAAAATAACTGAGGTTATGACCCTGAATCATTTTTAAGTTACAGTTTGCCCACAACTGTAGTGTGAGTATGCACACAGATTCATTCTGATTAAAATAATCCTACAATATAGAAATTACTAGTCCCGTTTTAGAGATAAAGAGACAAAGGCTTGGAGAGGTTCGTGACTCATCCAAGGTCACATAGCTATTAATAGTAAGTGACAGAACCAGAATCTGAAGCCAAGCATCAACGATTCCAAAGCCCATGGCTTATCTTAACCACCCTACTATGCTGACTTGAAATGTTATTTCAAAAAGCAGGGAACTGTACCTGAAAAGTTTATTTTTTATTTTTTTTTGAGATGGAGTCTTGCTCTGTTGCCAGGCTGGAGTGCAGTGGCGCAATCTCGGCTCACTGCAACCTCCGCCTCTTGGGTTCAAGCAATTCTCCTGCCTCAGCCTCCGGAGTAACTGGGACTACAGGTGCGTGGCACCATGGCCAGCTAATTTTTGTATTTTTAGTAGAGACGGGGTTTCACCATGTTGGCCAGGATGGTCTCGATCTCCTGACCTCATGATCCACCTGCCCTGGCCTCCCAAAGTGCTGGGAGTACAGGCATGAGCCGCTGTGCCTGGCCTGAAAAGTTTATTTCTATGAACATGTTCTCCATAACTAGGGCTAAAGTCTCGAAATGTATTATCATTTCCTTATTCTAAACAAATTTAAATATGGAAGAAAATCACCTATAATCACCTCTATCTTCAATAAAACCACTGTTGTCATTTTCAACTAATCTTCTCTCATTCGTATATGTGACTGCTTTTTCAAGCGCAGTTGTAGTAATATACATCATTTTCTTTTTTTTTTTGAGAAGGAGTCTCACTGCGTTGCCCAGGCTGGAGTGCAGTGGTGCGACCTCAGCTCACTGCAACCTCCACCTCCCTGGTTCAAACGATTCTCCTGCCTCAGCCTCCTGAGTAGCTGGGATTACAGGTGTGAGCCACTGCACCTGGCCAATATGCATCATTTTCTATTCTGCTTTTTGGTCTGTTATTTAACATTAATTCCTAAACTAAATGAGGTTTTGATAGACATACAATTTGTCCATAAAGGATAGCATTTGAAATAAAAATTGATCTACAAGTTTAAAAACCATATGACCAGTCCCCTGTCAGTCACGACATGAATCACAGCCAACCATTCATGTTTTCACTTCAGGTCATTTGCAATGAATATAAACACCACCAGCTATGGCCTTCATTTAACTGCCTTCTCTCACTTGCCAAGTGATATCCTTGTAGAGAAGGACCTTCTAAAACTGCAGTGTGCTATTTTTACCTCTCCTCTTATTTCTCAGCATTGACAGTTTATTCTAAAGTGGCTAGCCAGCCCCCAAACCATGAGACTTAAAATTTCTACATTTTTATCCCAATGTTTAAGAAATAATCATATTTACCTGTCCAAGAAGTTAACTATGTTGGGATTTTTTAATTCTTTCATCACCAGAATCTCATTAATGATCAATTCCTTCTTTGGCTGTTTCTGTAAATTAATCTGTTTGATAGCAACCTATAATGAAAACAGGATTGAAAAAAATCAGGTTTACGAATTCTCTTAAAAAATTACAAACACCAAGCAGTTAATAACTTACTTTACGGCATGTATATTATATTATACAATGCTATTACTCATAGGTGGTACTTTTACTTGCACATTGCCTCTGCACAATGCTTTGTAATGTATAGAGCCTAAACAGTTTTAGATTTATCTTGAAGTTAATACACCCACAGTCAGTCCAACACTAAGAATTAATCCTCTTTTCACTTGAGCTGAGAAAACAATTTTTAAATACTTGCTTATTTATGACATTAAACTCAAAATTCCTTCTTTGTTCCCCTTAATGACAGAAGTGCTATAAAAACACGTAGAGCAATTCTTACAACATGTTCAACTTAAAAGAGAGTCCTAGTGATTCTTCCCAGCTTTATCTAGTTTCCACCTATATGACAAAATAATGGTAACATCCAGGATTATGACAAAGTAGCTACCTCCTGTCCCAATGCAACGTCAGTAGCAGTGAAAACTGTACCAGAAGCCCTAGAGGGAGAAAACAGCCAGATTTAAGGTTGACAAATCACCAGCATTTACAATATCCAAAGACTTTACACTTCAAGCAACTGAAAAAGAATTAAAGAACAGTGACGACCTAACATGCTTAAAAGGAGTAAAAGCAAAAACACGAGGAAAGGGGGTGGGGGAAGAAAAAGAGACAATCCTCATGGCCAAAACTTATGTTTGAAATATTTCAGACCTACAAAAATGTAGGGAAAAAAGATCAAGAAAAAATATATGTAACATATACTTATGGATACACTTCCCTGATTAAGATACAAAGAACTATAAATAATTTGAAGATTCCCATGAGCCCTTTCCAACAGCAGTCTCCTTCCTCCCAAAGGTGATCTGTATTTGGTGTTTATCCTGTATTTGATGTTCATCATTTTCATGCATTTCTCCATACTTTTAACTACAAAGGACACAGATGTTTATCCCTATAAAATATACTTTGCCTAATTTTTTTTTTTTTGAGACGGAGTCTCCCTCTGTCGCCCAGGCTGGAATGCAGTGGCACAATCTCCACTCACTGCAAGCTCCGCCGCCTCCCAGTTTCACGCCATTCTCCTGCCTCAGCCTCCCTAGAAGCTGGGACTACAGGCGCCCGCCACCACGCCCGGCTAATGTTTTTTGTATTTTCAGTAGAGATGGGGTTTCACCGTGTTCACCAGGATGGTCTTGATCTCCTGACCTGGTGATCCACCCGCCTCGGCCTCCCAAAGTGCTGGGATTACAGGCGTGAGCCACCGCGCCCGGCCTGCCTAATTTTTAAAGTCATATAGTTTCATTTCACATATTATCCTGCAACTTGCTTTTGTTACTCAATACTGGATTTGTGATGGTCATCCATATGGATAGGCATTGCTTGTTCATTCATGCTCAAAAATAATAAGATAATCTTCAATTCTCTTTCACAAAACCAGTGCTGCAATTGAATTTAGCTGTTAGGAAGAAATTCAGGCCTGGTGCAGTGGCTCACACCTGTAATCCCAACACTTTGGGAGGCTGAGGCAGAAGAACTGTTTGAACCCAGGAGGCAGAGGCTTCAGTGAGCTGAGATTGTTTCACTGCACTCCAGCCTGGTGACAGACTGAGACTTCACCAAAAAAAAAAAAGAGAGAGAAGGGAAGGAAGGAAGGAATTCATATGGAAGTTTTCAAAAATGGCTTAAGCCCTCACTGTAAATTCACTGAATGCTTTCCAGAGTTTAATAACATTAAAGATTTAAGGTGTTTATTTGCTTCGAAGCAACAGAAAAAAGGAGTTTAGTTAGTACACTTTAAAAATACAAATTACAGAACAAAATCAGAAGATGAGTAGACTCAAAAGTCGATACTCAATGACATGATTTAAATGCATTTTTTTATTGCTTATAATCCTGAAGTAAATATTCTTACTGTCTTTTAAATATATTTTGTGGGCAATTCTTCCCTCTAACTCTTTATTTTTTTTTTGAGACAGAGTCTTGCTCTGTCGCCCAGGCTGGAGTGCAGTGGCTGGATCTCAGCTCACTGCAAGCTCCGCCTCCCGGGTTTACGCCATTCTCCTGCCTCAGCCTCCCAAGTAGCTGGGACTACAGGCACCCACCACCTCGCCCGGCTAGTTTTTTGTATTTTTTAGTAGAGACGGGGTTTCACTGGGTTAGCCAGGATGGTCTCGATCTCCTGACCTCGTGATCTGCCCGTCTCGGCCTCCCAAAGTGCTGGGATTACAGGCTTGAGCCACCACGCCCGGCCCCCTCTAACTAATTCTTTATCACGGATGGGAAATGACACTTAAGAAAAAATGAACCAAACACTGACAACAAAAAAAAAAAAAAAAAAAAAAAAAAAAAAAAAAAAAAAAAAAAAAAAAAAAAAAAAAAAAAAAAAAAAAAAAAAAAAAAAAAAAAAAAAAAAAGAAAAAATGACACACAATCGCTGCTAACAACTAGTACAGTTTTTTAACAGCATCTACAAATAACTGCATTATTTATTTACACAAATCCCCCAAGGGTACCACTCACAGACTACTACATAAGTGCTCAATGTCAGCAGGCAAAATAAATATCATGCTATAAAACCAGGAAATACTGAATATTGAATATTATGATAATACAGTCATGAATACTTACCCTTGTCCAATTTTTTCATATCTTGTATATTTTTTCTTAGGGTCACCTATGCTCACAATAGTTCCTAGAATAAACAAAAAGCTGGAAGCTCAGTCAAGCATTTTAAGTGTAAATTGATTTTGATATTATTATTCCTTTTAATAAATGCCACTGCTTTTATAAGTGATTTTCAAACATAACATTAAGTTTCAAAAATAACAGGTTTCAAACACAAAACACTAAAGAAACTTAAATACATAATAAAAGTTTAAAAGTATCAGAAACAAGACACATTAAAAGTTAAAGTATCAGAAACAAGAAGACACATTATTTCCATGAGGTGAGACCTCCTAACTCATCATTCGCTCAATAATGGTCACATTTTGGAAAGACTGTACCAGTCTGTCAGAGATTAATTAGGTTCTCACATGTTCAGCTTTAGAATCAGGTAATCTCAAGGAAACAGACATATTTGAATATAAAAGATATATTTGAATATAGAAATAGGTATATTTGAATATATCTATTAATAGATAAGTTTGAGACTACTTAGTATTGTAAATAATAAAGGCTATCTAAACCCTAGATGGTCTTTCTGACTCCTCCAGTATACATATCATCTACCTTTCAATATATTTAGAAAACCACCTGTTAGCATAACAATTACTATGCTCTCACATAAACTAATCATATGTTTGTTTTAGGAAAGTTCAAAGTCGCAAGAAACATATTTTAAAATCAGGAAGTTGGGGCTGGGCACGGTGGCTCACGCCTATAATCCCAGCACTTTGGGAGGCCGAGGCGGGCAGATCACGAGGTCAGGAGATAGAGACCGTCCTAGCTAACACGGGGAAACCCCATCTCTACTGAAAAAAAATACAAAAAGTTAGCTGGGCGTGGTGGTGGGCGCCTGCAGTCCCAGCTATTTGGGAGGCTGAGGCAGGATAATGGCGTGAACCCGGGAGGCGGAGCTTGCAGTGAGCTGAGATCGCAACACTGTACTCCAGCCTGGGAGACAGCAAGACTCCGTCTCAAAAAAAAAATTAGGAAGTTGGACAGAAAATCATAACTCATATTCTTATTACTAGTAAGTCAAAATATAAGAAAAATCACATTACATTTTCACTTGCCTTGTCAAGGTAAAAAAGGACAGGACCATATCAAGGAAACTCACATAAATAATTTTATGTAGGTACCCAACCTCAAGTCAACAAGCAAAGAACAGGAGCAATAATAAGAGGCTAAGGCAAAAAGAAACCAAAAAGACTGGGGATGTGATAGCTAAAGGTCACAACTGAATGATGACGATCAGGATTCCAGTTAATTTTTTTTTTTTTTTTAAAGTAGCAGCTCTCCTAAAATAATTCTTATATGCCCATAGAGTAACAGAGTAGGCTGGGTGTGGTGGCTCATGCCTGAGGTCAGGAGTTTGAGACCAGCTTGGCCAACATGGTGAAACTCCATCTCTACTAAAAATGCAAAAATTAGCAGGGTGTGGTGGTGCGTGCCTGTAGTCCCAGCTACTCGGGAGCCTGAGGCAGAAGAAACGCTTGAACCGGAGAGGCAGAGATTGCAGTGAGGGGAGCCAAGATCGTGCCACCGCACTCCAGCCTGGGCGACAGAGTCAGACTCTGTCTCAAAATGAAAAAAAAAATAACAACAACAACAACAACAACAACAACAGAGTAACAGCCAGGTTTATACTTGAAAGCACTGAGAAATCAAAAGCAAATAAACATGAGGCATATGAACATTTGTTTGCTTTTTAGAGACAGGGTCTCACTCTGTCACCCAGGCTGGAGTGCAGTGGTGCAACCACAGCTCACTACAGCCTTGAACTCGTGGCTCAAGCAATCCTCCTGCCTCAGGCTCCCAGTCAGCTGGGACTACAGACACGCACCACCATGCCTCGTTAATTTTTTTTTTTTTTTGGGTAGAGTTGGGGTCTAAGTTGTATAGTTTGGCCTTGAACTCCTGGACTCCAGCTATCCTATCTTGGCCAGACAACGTACTAAGATTACAGGTTTGAGCCACTATGCCCAGCCTAAATGTTTAAAACAGTCCTTCCATAAACTATTTTTCCTTGATCCCTCTAGATTAGCATTCTTTAATTATTATTTATTATTATTATTGTTATTATTTTTTGAGACTGAGTCTCTCTCTTTTGCCCAGGCTAGAGTGCAGTGGCACGATCTCGGCTCACTGCAATCTCTGCCTCCTGGGTTCTAGTGATTCTCCTGCCTTAGCTCCCCAAGTAGCTGGGATTACAGGCGCCTGCCAAGACACCCAGCTAATTTTTGTGTTTTTAGTAGAGATGGGGTTTTGCCATGTTGGCCAGGCTAGTCTTGCTCCTGACCTCAAGTGATCCGCCCACCTTGGTCTCCCAGAGTGCTGGGATTACAGGCGTGAGCCACAGTGCATGGTCAGTTAGCATTTTTTTTTTGAGATGGAGTCTCACTCTGTTGCCAGGATGGAGTGCAGTGGCATGATTTCAGCTCACTGCAACCTCCACCTCCCGGGTTCAAGCAATTCTCTCGCCTCAGCCTCCCAAGCAGCTGGTACGACAGGCACGTGCCACCACACCAGCTGATTTTTGTGTTTTTAGTAGAGACAGGGTTTCACCATTTTGGCCAGGATGGTCTCAATCTCTTGACCTTGTGATCCGCCCGCCTCGGCCTCCCAAAGTGCTGGGATTACAGGCGTGAGCCACTGCGCCCGCCCCAGTGACGCAATCTTGACTCAATGCAACCTCCACCTCCTGGGTTCAAGTGATTCTCTTGTCTTAGCCTCCAAGTAGCTGGGATTACAGGCACATGCCAGCACATCCAGCTAATTTTTGTATTTTTAGTAGAGATGGGGTTTCACCACGTTGGCCAGGCTGGTCTTGAACTCCTGACCTCTGGTGATCTGCCCACCTCGGCCTCCCAAAGTGCTGGGATTTAGGGGTGAGCCACCACGCCCGGCGACATCTCTAGATTGTAATTGAAGCTACCGTTGCTATAAGAAAACAATGTATTCTTTATACTTTAAGCCATAATGTAAGGTGTAAGTTAAAATCCGTCTGGGCCAAATGTTTTAAGAGCTGTTAACAATTTAACAATGATATAAAATGTAGATAACATACTTAATTTCTCCATAATCTCTTCATCTGTCATTTTAGTCTTCTTTTTCTGTTTGTCTGAAGACTTGGCACCACCATCAACACTTGAATCACCAACTGGTGCAGGAACGGGGTCAATTACAGACCGTGTGTAAATCTGTGGAGAAACAGTTCATTACTAAGGTCTGAGGAATCATGTTTTCAGATATTCTTGCTGGCACACTAATTCAGTTCTTTGATTTTTAACCTGAACTAAGTTATCTCTTCCATTGTTCTAAATAATGAGAACACTATTTTCAGATATAAAAGATGTGTAACTAAGAATAAAAAATATGAAACATTTTTCTTTGGCATAGCATGTATATATTTGAAAAGCTGTCTAGTAAAACAGCAAGTCCATGAATGAAATTTAAGTGTGACCAGGTCTAAAATGGTACAACAATGTATCAAAAAGCACAGTTTAAAAATCCTGTTTTTACTACAGATGTAAGTAAAATGCAAAAGAATGGAAACCTTGACGTTGAAAGATTATTAATTCCCACAAAAGTTTTTACACAATTATAATGCCTACCACCCATTTCAAATAGCCAGGTTTAAAGGCTAAAGAAAACAGTCCTCTGCCGTCAGCTCGGCATCCAGAGGCCGTCCCCGGAGCTCTGCCTGCCCACTGTGCCACGAGCACAGCCCATTCCACGGCACAGCACCTTCCCCACCCTCTACTTGCATCAGTGCAGGGAGCAGAACGGTAACTGCAGTCATTCCTCTCTTCCTGGCTCCATTTAAGGCCATCATTTTTAGTCTCCCTTACCTGGTTAGGAATTTCACTCTCAACTGCCTTTTGAATGACATGAAGGCGCTGAGAGGAGTGTAAAATGGGAGATTAAAACACATCATCTGGGTAGGAGGAAAGCTGTAATAGATTTACCAGCCATCTACGTTGAGATGAACAGAGAAAGCTTGGGAAATAGATGAACCCACTGGAAAAGCATACTACAGAAAGAAAAAAGCCCAGTGAGGTGAGTGCGTTATTTATTTATTTATTTTTTTGGAGACAGGGTCTCGCTCTGTCGCCCAGGCTGGAGTGCAGTGACGCGATCTCGGCTCACTGCAAGCTCCGCCTCCCGGGTTCACACCGTTCTCCTGCCTCAGCCTCCCGAGTAGCTGGGACTACAGGCACCCGCCCACGCCCGGCTAATTTTTTGCATTTTTAGTAGAGATGGGGTTTCACCATGTCAGCCAGGATGGTCCTGATCTCCTGATCTCGTGATCCACCCGCCTCAGTCTCCCAAAGTGTTGGGATTACAGGTGTGAGCCACCGCGCCCGGCCTCGAGTGCGTTAACTTTTAAAGACACATCACATTTCAATCTTCAGAAAACTAGTTTTTGGTGAGTGGTCTTTGGGTACAGATCTCTCGGTTAAATTTCCCCACACTAAATGGTTTTAAACTCGACGGCTTTCTAAAAGCAATCACTGAAAGTCAAATACAGACTCTTGTTTTTTAAAACACACACGCACACACACAGCCTAGGTCACCAATCGACACTCACTGATTTCGTATGATCTGGTCGTGGGGCAATAACAGGAGGAGCAGTCTCTTCATCATCATCATCTTCCTCTGTCACTACTGCGGGTGTTTCTGTTCCCTTGGCGTTCAGCTGCATTGATTATGAGCAAAGTCAGGAAAACAAGTCAAATAGGCTTAAATGTGACTATCGCCCTTTATGAACAGACTTCAAAAAGTTTGCTTCTTTGATAGCTCATTTCAAAACCATTAAATCTCATTAGCTCTTATATAACTCAAGAGAATTATAATCTAATAAGGTGATTCTATGAATTATGAAAAAGTTTATGAAATAAATATGTTCAGTACCACATCTTTTTAATAAAGTACTATTTACCCTAAGCATACATATACAATGCCCTGAAAGTAAACAATGTTATTTGTTAAGACCAAAATCAAAGATCCTCTGAGCTTTGTATGTCAGAGACATTTGGTGACATTTAAAATAGTCAGATTTGGCCACGTGCAGTTGCCCACGCCTGTAATCCCAGCACTTTGGAAGGCCGAGGTGGGTGGATCACTTGAGGTCAGGAGTTCGAGACCAGCCTGGCCAACATGGTGAAACCCTGTCTCTACTAAAAATACAAAAAATTAGCAGGGCGTGGTGGCGGGCGCCTGTAGTCCCAGCTACTCGGGAGGCTGAAGCAGGAGAACGGCGTGAACCCGGGAGGTGGGGCTTGCAGCGAGCTGAGATCTGGCCACTGCACTCCAGCCTGGGTGACAGAGCAAAACTCCGTCTCAAAAAAAAAAAAAAAAAAAGTATCATATCAAGGAATTTCTATTTAATACAGCTTCTTCAACTAATTGGGTGGCTAGCTAAAAACACCTATTGAGTAGTTATTTACCTCTGATGGCTGTAATTTATTTTAGAAAGCGAAATAAAAACTGAGATTTGTCTTGGGTATCCTAAATCAGAACAAGAGATACAAGAAATAATATCATTAACTTACTGCTGGTGTTCCAGAAGGGAAGCCATCTTTCTCTGAATATGAAACAAAACATAATGTTAGCAATTCAAGAAATAGCACTTTTATATGATAAAAGGAAAAAAAAAAAAGCAGAAAAAGTGAAATGTTCTTAAACTGATCTCAAGTTGAATTAACTCTTGAGAAAAATGATAACACAAGTAGTCAAATAAGAATTTATGTAAGACCAAGCTAAGGAATCTGAAATCTAAATGAAACTATAAATTTACTAAAATTTCAGTGAATTACATATTTAAAATGGGTGAATTGTACTGCATGTAAATTATACCTCAATAAAGCTATCAAAATTTATTTTGAAAGTATACCTATCCATCTGTATTTATTAAAACAAAACAAATGGCCGGGCGCGGTGGCTCAAGCCTGTAATCCCAGCACTTTGGGAGGCTGAGACGGGCGGATCATGAGGTCAGGAGATCGAGACCATCCTGGCTAACACGGTGAAACCCCGTCTCTACTAAAAAATACAAAAAGCTAGCCAGGCGAGGTGGCGGGCGCCTGTAGTCCCAGCTACTCGGGAGGCTGAGACAGGAGAATGGCGTAAACCTGGGAGGCGGAGCTTGCAGTGAGCTGAGATCCGGCCACTGCACTCCATCCAACCCAGGCGACAGAGCGAGACTCCGTCTCAAAAAAAAAAAAAAAAAAAAAACAAATGTATTCATAAAGATACTTTCTCCAGTAAACTGCTGACTGAGGAACTTAATGACACAATTAAGACAATGACAATTGTGCAAAGTAAAAATTCTGACATTGTTTTGTTTTTCTTTTAAAAATGCCCAGAGACATACATATATATATATATATATATATATCATATATAACACACGTACAGGCCGTGCGCTGTGGCTCACGCCTGTAATCCCAGCACTTTGGAAGGCTGAGACAGGCAGATCACATGAGGTTGGGAGTTCAAGACCAGCCTGGCCAACATGGAAAAACCCCGTCTCTACTAAAAATACAAAATTAGTCGGGTGTGGTGGCACATGCCTATAATCCCAGCTATTGAGGAGGCTGAGGCAGGAGAATTGCTTGAACCGGGGAGGCAGAGGTTGTGGTGAGCCAAGATTGTGCCATTTCACTCCAGCCTGGGCAACAGAGCAGAACTCCAGCTCAAAAACAAAACGACACACACGCACGCACACACACACACACACACATTTATGTATGTATGTATGTGTACTAGGTGCAAATAAGCTACCATTTGGTGGTCACTGATTTTTCAAACAAATTACTAATTTACACACAGACTTACTGGTTGATACAAAAATTCTAGGTACAAGTCTGACCTTTTCCTAAGGGTGTACTAGACTCAACAAAAAAGGTCAAGATCACTTGCAAAAAGATTTCTCTGTCTCCCCTGAGCATGGCCTTTATTTCTGTGAGGATGCAAACATTAAGTATAATCAATTAAAATCACAGGCAGGATTTTAGCTCAATCATACTGTTTTTAAAAACCACGTGTATGACTTCAGATACAGACAAACACATTGAAAAATGACATCCTGAGGGTGTAGTGAGCAAAATCTAAACTGAGGGAAACAGGACAAATGGTCTTGTTTCTTTACTAAACAAACGGCAAGAAAAGACAGCAGGAACCAGTGTGTGGGAGGGAAGCCTAAAGATCAAGAGATTCGGTATCAACCAACTGCAATGTATGAACTTTATTCTGATCTTTATTTGAACAAAAACTATTTTTAAAAATCCACTACACTAATTCTTATCCTATATACCAATTCACTGGTTCTCTCATAGATAACGGTATATCTCAGATACTGAGCAACTTGGAAAACAAAGTACATCAAACCCAATTTCCACCCAGCTATATTCATCCAGAAAGTAAAATTTACATTACTATGATTACATAGATAACATTCCAGATATTCCAATTCTGAGGTATAAATCCTTCTAGTTCTAACGTTTATTTCATATACGATTTATCTATTTTATATATTAAAATACATATATTCTATTATCTGCATACTCACGAGTTTCAATTTTTTGAGTGGACCTAAACATTTTTTAGTTCAAATCGGTGCAAAACAATCTCCTCTTGTCCCACTAACAATAAGTGTATTTCTAGTGTGAACATGTCTATCAACCAGCGTCTTTTCCTTTAATTGCTGGAAGTCATTTAAAAGCAGTGACGAGTGAAAAATGAAAACAAAAACACAGCAATGAAGAGAAAAAACCAAATAAACAAAAAGCCAAAATATCCATCAACTCCCATTTCTGTCAAACCTATGAGATTACTATAATTCCCAGATCCAAATTATGCTTCAGAACAGCCCTGGATCAGTCTACAAAAGGTAGAATCTATCCAGGGAAAAACATTATCGACAAGAGCCATAGTTTAGCTTTTCATTTTTCCAGGAGTAATCTTTTTATCTAGAAGCGCTTCACACATCTCCATCTGACCCAGCCCTAGCTGCTGTCTTACCCGGAGGAGTAAAGCTCAGATACTTCTGCTTCACTGTGTTGGAGTCGTAGAACTTGAGGACATCCAGCACAGCCTGAGGATTCTTCTTTTGCTCTAGTTTGGTGATGTTGGAGGTCTGTAGTAATCGAGCCCACTGTTCTGGCATGCCCTAACAAAAAGACATTCAGAAATTAGGTATGGTTTAAATTGACGCAATAAAATTAATTTCCAGAGATAAATGACAAAATATACAGAACAAACCAATCTTGTAAGTGTAGGTTTGACTAAATTCTAAAAGATCTTGTTTTCTAAAGGTCTATTTTTTCTTTTTCTGAGACAGAGTCTCGCTCTGTGGCCCAGGCTGGAGTGCAGTGGCGCGATCTCAGCTCACTGCAAGCTCCGCCTCCGGGTTCACGCCATTCTCCTGCCTCAGCCTCCCGAGTAGCTGGGACTACAGATGCCGCCACCTCGCCCGGCTAATTTTTTGTATTTTTAGTAGAGACGGGGTTTCACCGTGTTAGCCAGGATGGTCTCGATCTCCTGACCTCGTGATCCGCCTGCCTCGGACTCCCACAGTGCTGGGATTACAGGCATGAGCCACCGCGCCCGGCCTGGGTCTATTTTTCTAAGTCTGCTTTGCATAACTAGAATGAACAGGCTCTGCTCTCTAGGGAAACAATGTATCCAACCACTAACACTTTTATAAAAAGCGGAAAGCAGTAAGAATTCATAGTTGACATATGGATAGAAATGTTAATTTCCTTTTTTGGTGAGATGGAGTTTTGCTCTTCTTGCCCAGGCTGGAGTGCAATGGCAGAGTCTTGGCTCACTGCAACCTCCACCTCCCGGGTTCAAGTGATTCCCCTGCCTCAGCCTCCTGAGTAGCTGGAATTACAGGCGTACACCACCACGCCCGGCTATTTTTTTTTTTGTATTTTTAGTAGAGACGGGGTATCACCATGTTGGCCAGGCTGGTCTCAAACTTCTGACCTCAAATGATCTGCCATCCTTGGCCTCCCAAAGTGCTGGGATTACAGGCGTGAGCCACCGCGCCTGGCCTGAAATGTTAATTTCAAATTTAATAATGAAGGAAAATGTTTGAGTGCTATTTTACATGTTATAAATGGGCCCAAACTAGGTAAACTTACAGTGAATTCTCCAGTAACAGCATCAAAGCCAACATGGATGGTGTGTTCAAAATCAGATGGAGGAGAAATTTCTGGCCGTTCCTTTTCTTTCTTTTTACTTCCTAGAGGGCATCAGAAAAAAAGAAAAAGAATCAGCCTATTTAAACAAGACTAGCGAAGGCACTTACAATTTTTTTTTTTTGTCTTTTGTTTTTTTACACAGAGTTTCGCTCTTGTTGCCCAGGCTGGAGTGCAGGGGCACGATCTCAGCTCATTGCAACCTCTGCTTCCTGGGTTCAAGCCATCCTCCTGCCTCAGCCTCCTGAGTCACTGGGATTACAGGTGCGCACCACCCCTCCTGGCTAATTTTTGTATTTTTAGTAGAAATAGGGTTTTGCCATGTTGGGTCAGGCTGGTCTCAAACTCCTGATCCACCTGCCTTGGCCTCCCAAAGCGCTGGGATTACAGATGTGAGCCACTGCTTGCCCGGCGTATTATATTTTTCCTAAAACATATTAGGATCAAAGTTATTCTAGAAAACATATTAGGATCAAAGTTATTCCAGAAAAGATTTCCCCTAAAAACACTGGCTGATAGGAAACCAGTAAATAGAGTAAAGCGGACTGTCCTGCCACAGAGCAAACACCGTCCTGATGAGGAGGCACATGGAGCGAGCAACAGCAGCCTGAATAACAGCACAGGCAGAAGACACACCCCTTAGGGCAGCAGCTCTCTCACAAAGGGCTCCATCTCAGATTCTGAGCAACGTGGACAGCAAGCACAGCAAACCCCATTTCCGCTCAGCTACATACACTGGGAAGTCAGATTTGCATTGCCGGGACTCCGCAGAGAATACACACTGCCAGGACAAGCAGTGACAAGGCCACCTCTCCTTTTTTGTGCAAGCCTAATCCTTCCTTTTCAGTGGAGTTACTAATTGCCACTTTTTAAAACTGCACAGTTTTTCTATGATCCGAGCGCAGAAATTATTTCTGCAGCATTTCTGCCGTACACCTATCAATAATATTCTCTGTAAACTCCAACACATCAGTTCCTCCCCGCAACCCCTCCCTCTCAGCTCCTCCTGCTGCAATCCACAGTAGCTCACGCCTAGGCCTCCTGCACAGTTCCTGTCCGTGACATTCCTTCACTCCTGCCCTGTGCTGGAATCTATTTTCTGGATCTTATGTTTTCCTCCTCTAGATTTATCCCTTTAGGTGATAGTTCTTGACTCATTATATATATGCATATATACGTTGGAAATGTGTTTTGTTACCCTCAGCATTTCCAGTGTTGCTATTGAGAAGGCCAGCGCCATTCTGGTTCTCGTTTGGAGCCACCGTTGGAAGTCAATGTCTGCATATGTGTACGTCTGTCTCTGGAGGCTCTGCCCTGTTGCAATTATCTGTTTGTCTGCCTTTCTGCCTCTATCAGACTGCCTGGATTATTTTCTTGCCATTTTGTAACACGCATTGAAACTATGTCACATAAGTCTTCTTTTTCTTTTGTCAAAGCTTTTTGGGTAATCCAGTCCTCTGTATTTCCATATGAGTTTTAGAATGAGCTTATTAATTTCTACAGAAAGCCTGTTGGAATTCTGACTAGAATTGGAATGAATGTACACAGACGAATTTTAGGGAGAATTTCTTTTTTTCTTTTTTTTTTTAGAGGGAGTCTCGTTCTGTCACCCAGGCTGGAGTGCAGTGGCATGATCTCAGCTCACTGCAACCTCTGCCTCCCGGGTTCAAGGGATTCTCCTACTTCAACCTCCTGAGTAGTTGGGATTACAGGCGCCCACCACCACACCCGGCTGATTTTTGTAATTTCTGGTACAGATGGGGTTTCACCATGTTGGCCAGGCTGGTCTCAAACTTCTGGCCTCAAGCGATCCACCTGCTTTGGCCTGCCAAAGTGCTTGGATTACAGACATGAGCCACTGTGCCTGGCTGAGAATTTATTTCTTGATTTTTTTTTTTTTTTTTGAGATGGAGTCTTGCTCTGTCGCCCAGGCTAGAGTGCAGTGGCCGGATCTCAGCTCACTGCAAGCTCCGCCTCCCAGATTTACGCCATTCTCCTGCCTCAGCCTCCCGAGTAGCTGGGACTACAGGCGCCCGCCACCTCGCCCGGCTAGTTTTTTTTTTTTGTATTTTTTAGTAGAGACGGGGTTTCACGGGGTTAGCCAGGATGGTCTCGATCTCCTGACCTTGTGATCCGCCCGTCTCGGCCTCCCAAAGTGCTGGGATTACAGGCTTGAGCCACTGCGCCCAGCCTCTTGATTTCTTAACACCACCGAGTTTTCTGATCCATGAAAACAGTAAATCTTTTCATTTATTTAGGTCTTTAAAAATTTCTCTTAGCAGTGTTTGCAGTTGTCTGTATCTGTTCGGTATGCTTTATCAGAATACCACTGCCTAGGCAATTTATTAATATAAACATTAGAAGCTGGCTGGGAGCAGTAGCTCATGCCTGTAATCCCGGCACTTCGGAAGACTGAGGTGGGCAGATCACATGAGGCCAGGGGTTCAAGACCCATCTGGCCAACATAGCAAAACACTGTATCTAAAACCAAACTTTAGCCGAGTATGGTGGCACGAGAATTGCTTGAACCCAGGAGGTGGAGGCTGCAGTGAGCCGAAACTGTGTCACTGCACTCTAGCCTCGGTCACAGCGTGAGACTCTGTCTCCAAAAAAAAAGTTCATTTGGCTCACAGTTCTTCTGGAGGCTGGGAAGTCCTCCAGATCAAGGATCAAGAAGCCACATCTGGTGAGGGCCCTGACATAGCAGAAGGCATCACATTGCAAGAAAGAGCAGGACGGGGCCAAACTGGCTTTTATAACCAACTCGCACCCACAATAGAGACGTTGAGCCCATCTGTGAGCACTCGCGTCGTCTCCTGAAGGTCCCATCTCTCAACACTGTCTTACTGGGGCTTCAGTTTCTAACACGTGAACTCTGGGGCCACTTCGAATCAGAGCTGTAGTTATCAGTATAGAGCGCACACTGTTTCATCAGCGTTCTGCCTTGGTATTTCCTGATTTTTGATACTATTGCAAATGGCAGTTTTTAAATGTCCTTTTTAATCATTCATTGCTGCCATAAAGAAACACAGTTGTTTCCTGAATACTAATCTTATTTCCTGAAACCTTATTATGCTTACTTCCACTAGTATTTTTGTAAATATAGAATTTTGCTATAAAAATTCAATCATGTTGCTGGTGAATAAACTCAAGTTTACTTGTTTCCAATCTGGAGTCCTTTTATTCATTTTCTTAAAAAAAAAAAAAAGTTTTTTTGTTTTTGTTTTTGTTTTTTTTTTGCCTTACAGAATTAGCTAGACCCTTCAGTATATTGTTGAATGAAAGTGGATGAAGAGAAATTTTATTTTTCCTGATCTAAGAGGAAAAAGTGTCATTCTTTTTACCTTTAAGTTTAATGGCAGTGGTAGGTTTGTAAAAGATGTCCTTTATGAGGCTGAAGGGCATTCTCTTCTATTCCAAGTTTGCTGAACACTTTTTATCAGAAATGGATATTGGGTTCTGTCAAATGCCTTTTCTACACATACTGAGACAAACCCATGGCTCATCCTTTCTATTGTGTTAATACAGTAAATAACATCAATCGATTTTCAAACTTAAACCAATGAAATCCACTTAGTCATGACGTATCACCCTTTTTATACACTGTTGGATTCCAATTGCTAAAATCTTGCTAAGAATTTAACATTGGCCAGGCACAATGGCTCATGCCTGTAATCCTAGCAGTTTGGGAGGCTGAGGCAGAGGGATCACTTGAGCTCAGGAGTTTGAGGCCAGCCTGGCCAACATGGTGAAGTCTTGTCTCTACTAAAAATACAATAATTAGCCGGGCGTGGTGGTGCATGCCTATAATCCCACCTACTTGCGAGGCTGAGGCAGGAGAATTGCATGAACCCGGGAGGTGGCAGTTGCATGGAGCCAAGATGGCGCCACCGCGCTCCAGCCAAGGCAACAAAGCAAGACTCCTCCAAAAAAAAAAAAAAGAGAGAGAGAGAGGGGAAAAAACATTGGTACGTATTTGTTCATATCATCTTTTTAAAATCTGTACGGTGCCATCACCTCTCTCATTCTCAATACTGGTAATTTGTCTCCTTCCCATCCACAGCCACCTCCCCTCCCCGTCAGTCTGGCTACAGGTTTATCCATTTTATTCATATTCTAAATGAATCTACTTTTGGTTGCAGTGATTTTCTCTGCTGCTTTTTTCCCCTATTTCATTTATTCCCATTTTGCTTTTTATTATTTCTTCTACTTACCTTGGATTTCATCCACTCTTCCCTTCTAGTTTATTAAGACGGCTTAGTTAAAGTCATTGATTTAAAATCTTTCTTTTCTTCTAATATGGTGTTTAATACCATAAGTTCTCCACCAAGTACTGCTTTAGCAGTATCCTACAAATATTGATGTTTTGAATTTTCATTCAGTTTAATATATTTTCTAAATCTTTTTATTTGTAAAGTGCTTTCTCTACTCTCCAAATATTTCCAGAGACCTCCTTGTGACTGCTTTCTAATTGAATTATATTACGGTCACGAGAACACATTTTGTACGATTTAAATCCTTTATTTATTTATTTATTTTTTGATACAGAGTTTAGCTTTGTTGCCCAGGCTGGAGTGAAGTGGCATAATCTTGGCTCACTGCAACCTCCGCCTCCTGGGTTCAAGCAATTCTCTGCCTCAGACTCCCGAGTAGCTGGGATTACAGGCGCCTGCCACCATGCCTGGTTTATTTTTGTACTTTTAGTAGAGACGGGGTTTCACCATGTTGGCCAGGCTGGTCTTGATCTCCTGACCTCGTGATCCATCCTCCTCGGCCTCGCAAAGTGCTGGGATTACAGGCGTGAGTCATGACACCCAGCCTATTTATTTATTTTGAGAAGGAGTCTCGCTCTGTCACCCAGGCTGGCGTGCAATGGCGCAATCTCAGCTCACTGCAGCCTCCACCTCCCAGGTTCAAATGATTCTCCCACCTCAGCCTCCTGAGTAGCTGGGATTACATGTGCCTGCCACCACATCCAGCTAATTTTTACACTTTAAGACGGGGTTTCACCATGTTGGCCAGGCTGGTCTCGAACTCCTGACCT